GCGTGTGCGGTTGAAACCGATTGGCGAAGCTTTGCGGACTGGAGGATGAGGTACAGCAAAATGAGCTGAAGAGTTGCAGTCAAAATGAGATGGGTGCCTTGCGAGAAATTGAGCACAGCAAGGGTCAGTCAGGACGAAGCAAGGTTGACACCGTCTGAGCCGCAAAGCACCGAGGCAGAGAGAAGGGGTCTGGGTAGAGGGAAAAGCAGCGAGGTGGTGAGGAAGCAGATGCAGATGACAATGACGATGGCAATGACAAGAGCGCTGCGATGGCGGGAGCGGAGAGTGAAGAGAGAGATGATGTTGATGTGTCGAGCCGGACGGTGGAGCCAGCAGTCACAACTGAGCGGGATGCAAGGACGTGCGTGATGCGATGGTATCGACGAACACGACAGATTCAATGGTCGGCTGGCTGGCTGACCGACTGACTGCCTGGTTGGCTAAGGGACTGCAGAGGAACATGCTAGCCAGCTTTTTGGTCAAGCAGCCAGCGGACTGACAGATCTACAGTACAGTACCAGCCCGCTCGTTCTGCCAGGCAATGCTGGGAAGCTTCGCCTGGAATCCGGTCAAGGGTGCGGTGCCGCCTGCTGTGTGTGTGCGTGGGTGAGCGTGAGCGTGAGCGCGTTATACTGGACCGCGGTCGTATGCTTGTGCGGGCGTGCGGGCGGGCGTGCGTGCGTGTGTGTGAAGGTTAGCTTCCCTGGGCAAGGGTGTGAGCGTGTGAGCACTCTAGCTCTGGGCGTCACCAGTGCGTGCGTGCTTGTGCTGCCTCTGTGCGTGAGTGTGCTGGCTGGACACTGGTCGGCCATCCTCTGGGCACCGAAAAGTCAAGCCCAGAATGCAGTACAGTACTGTACTGTAAATTGCCTGGCTGCGAGGGGCTTGTGCGCACGAAGCAGGCGAGTCACAGCAGCCAGGGAGTTCGTTTTGACGGCTAGAGTCCAGCCAGCCTTGCTGTGTGCATGCGTGGGCGTGAACGTGTGCGTGTCTGCCCTTGAGCGCGTCTTCTATTCCCAGCTGTGCGGTAGGGCTCTGTGTGTGTCTCACAAGACGAACTAGCTCGCTTTGACAGTCTTCTTTTTAGCTCGGAATTTCCGATCAGGCCCTTGCTTGAGAGTTTGGCAAAGATGTTAGGCCGTTCTTGCTGTGTCTTCGGTCGAATTAGAATCTTCTTGCCGGCCGGCTTATTGCCAGCTGTAGAATGGTTCCAAACGCCTGGTGTTGCGGACATGCATACTCTAAGTCAATTTCTCTTCTCCACACTGTACGGTACACTTCAGTAGTTAGATATTTCGACGGGCTAAGATCATTTTCTCTCAGTAGCCACAGACCCACTCTTCCCAAACAACATTGCGGTTTCTTGCAAGCGGTTTCCAGTCTCTATTTTTTTTGCACTCCCCGTCCGTGGACTTGGTCTCCGTCCGCCGCGCAATATGCCATGTTCGGACCGTGGCCGACCTTGGCCACTTGGCTACCGTGCACCCTGTTCCACCTCGGGACGGTTCATCGAGGACTCTGCATGGCCTCGGACACGCCTTTGACAACAACAGCGGCACGGTTGGCGTCGTCTTCTATGGTTTGTCCAGATTCAAAGAAAGAAAAAGAAATACCTCACACAGCTCTCTGTACTTGCAATGCATCCGTCCCCCGACCCTCTCAACAAGGTGGTCGATTCAATCTTTGCACGGGCATGCCCGCTGTCGGCCCGTGCTTTTGCGACCCTTTACTCTATGGACGCTGGGACAGGAGCGTCGTTGGTTCACGAGGTTATCGAGTCTGTGAGATAGAGCCGCAGATCCGGTGGACGAGACGATGGTGACGAGTGCCTCACCTCTGGGCGTTTGCTTTCGGAAGGCGGGTATCCGAACGAACGCGTACCGTCTGAGTCTCGGGAGAGCCATGCAGGATAATTACAGCTATTAACAATATAATAATGATTCGCTATCTGCAAATGCGCCGCCTTGCTCGCTTTCTTCGGCTTTTTGGGACCACTCAAAGAAGCAAAAACAGTTTCTTGACCAGTCCGCTGATAGGCTCTCAGCCCAAAGCAGAGTCAATGCTTGTCACTTGAGCGTTCGCTCTGCATTGTCGGACCCCTTGGGCGAATCGCTTCTATCTGTAGTGCTGTGATGTGGTCAACTGCCAATTTTGCCGCCTCCTGCTACATTAATCATAATTTTATTTATTTAATTATGTTTTTTCTGATTCCTCCTTTCTCGGTGTGTGTGGTCATGGCCGCGTGATCCGAGCGAGGCCAGCCGGTCAAACCGCCGATCAACGGTGCATTTCTGGCGGATTGCGTCGGCAACCAAAGCTGCGCTGCACCACCACAGATGCGAGCCAGGCGGTTGGGCCATATTCGGCGGCACCTCCGAACTCCACGCTTGCACACAAATCCCATTCGCTACTGTACTGTACGATACACAGTGCCTACGAGTGCTGTACACACATGCACCGTGAGTCCGTCTTTGTTACCCTTTCCTCCGTGCCTATCACATCACCTTCTCTCTAGCGTTCAAGCTAGCTTCCAACTAGGACTCGGCATCGAAACAAGAAAGCTGATGGACCTGCGAGGACTGACTTCCAAGGCCGCCTGTCGATTTGCATCCTTGCCTCCACCATCATCATCCTCGCTTCTTCGACAAGCAACTAGTCCACACGGCTCCATCGTAGCACTTGTCAGCTCAAGCCCGCACAGCCATCTGGTTGGTTCGTCCGCGCTTGCCAAACTGACACCCTTCCAGCTTCCGCTTTTGCGACCTTCGGGATCTGGCTCCGGCTCTGGACTCAAATTTGCAGGTCCGCAAGAGACTGCTTTCGGACTGCAACATCTTCAAGCCAGATCAGCGCACACCTCAGTCAACGTCGCCGCAGTTACTCGAGACATGGGTGCTATCGCTACCGGCAGAGTCGACACAACTCAGCGGGTTCAGGCCCTCCGCGGCCTAATGGCCAAGCACGGCGTCGATGCGTACGTCATCCCCTCTGAGGATGAGCACGCTTCTGAATATCCCGCTGAATCTGATCTTCGACGTGGCTACATCACCGGTTTCACCGGCTCGGCAGGCTGCGCCGTGATCACCACCAAGGAGGCGCTTCTGTTCACCGACGGGCGCTACTTCCTTCAGGCTGGACAGCAGCTTGAACCCTCGGTATGGAAGCTCATGAAGCAGGGTGAGCCCAACGTTCCGACGTGGCAAGAGTTCCTGTCCAAAAATGTTCCTGGCAAGTCCAAGATCGGCATGGATTCGTCGCTCATCTCTGCCGATGACGCCAAGGATATCTCTGCTGAGCTCGCCAAGATCGGATCGCAGCTTGTGCCCATCACCGAGAACCTCGTGGACCAGGTCTGGTCCGATCGTCCCTCGCGACCGGGTCAGCCCATCTTTGTGCTCAAGGACGAGATCGCCGGACGCAGCTCGGCCGACAAGATCAAGGAGCTCCGCGAAGAGATCAAGAAGAAGTCCGCCAAGGGCTTCGTGGCAAACATGCTCGACGAGGTCGCTTGGCTCTTTAATCTGCGCGGCACCGACGTGCCCTACAACCCGGTGTTCTTCTCCTTTGCACTCGTGCTGCTCGACAAGACGCTCCTCTACGTCAACGACAGCCAGCTCGACGAGAGCGTCAAGTCGCATCTTGGTTCTCAAGTGACGCTGCGTCCCTACGCGGCCTTTTACGACGATCTGCACAAGATTGGAGCCGACCTGGGATCCGGCGACAAGATCCTTATTGGCAAGCGTGCTTCACTCGCCGTGCAGGAGGCGCTCGGTGGTGCTGACAAGGTCGAAATCACCCGGTCGATCGTGGGAGACCAAAAGTCGATCAAGAACGAGGTCGAGCTTGAGGGTTTCCGACAGTGCCATATCCGGGATGGTGCAGCACTCTGCCAGTACTTTGCGTGGCTCGAGGAGCAGCTGCATGCCGGCAAGAAGGTGTCCGAGTCCGAGGGTGCCGACAAGCTCAGCGAGTACCGACAGGCGCTCGAGCACTTCCGTGGCGAGAGCTTCACCACCATTTCCTCGACAGGCCCCAACGGCGCCATCATCCACTACAGCCCCGATCCCAAGTCGTGTCCCACCATCGACGTCAACGAGGTCTACCTCTGCGACTCGGGTGCCCAATTCACCGACGGTACAACCGACGTCACTCGAACTTGGCACTTTGGCAAGGCGTCTCCGGAGCACATCCGCGCCTTTACCCGCGTGCTGCAGGGCCACATCGCCATTGATCGTGCCGTGTTCCCCAAGGGAACCACCGGATACCTCCTCGACGTGCTCGCGCGACGGGCGCTGTGGGAGGACGGACTGGACTACCGCCACGGCACCGGTCACGGCGTTGGCCACTTCCTCAACGTGCACGAGGGTCCGCAGGGTATCGGCACTCGCGCCGTCTTCAATGAGACGAGTCTCAAGGAGAACATGGTCGTCTCCAACGAGCCGGGTTACTACGAAGACGGCAAGTTTGGCATTCGTATCGAGAACCTCGTCATTGTCCGCCCTGCTTCGACCCCGAATAACTTTGGAAACAAGGGCTACCTCACTTTTGAACACCTGACCATGTGTCCCATCCAGGTCTCGCTCATTGACCCGAGTCTCCTCAACGCGGATGAAAAGTCCTGGATCAACAACTACCACGACGAAGTTCTCCAGAAGGTCTCGCCCCTCCTCGCAAACGACAAGCGTGCGCTCGAATGGCTCAAGCGAGAGTGCCAGGCGCGTGTTTGAGCCCATACTCGCCCCGTTGCATCATGCATCAAATAGCTTCTTGCTCCGTTCTACTTTGCTGTGCACGCGGCTTCGTATATTATTACTTATGTCACATCAATGCCTGTCTTGATTTGTCTTCGCTCCTGTTCGCCTCTTCCTGTGCCCATTTCTGAGTCCCTTTTGCTTCAAAAGACCTAGTCGATCTCATCGGACTCGATTCAAAAAATTCGACAAAAGGCGAAAGAAAGGGAAAAATTAGGTGAAGAAATCATGAAAAAAAAATATAAAAATAGAGTCCTACGGGGATTGAACCCGCGACCTGCAGAAGACCGGAAGGTTACCAGGAACACTTCGGAACAAAGCCGAAGTCTGCCGCTCTACCGCTGAGCTAAAGACCCTTACTTCCAAATTCGCTACTGGTTGCATATATAGACTATGAAATTCTTCTGGGCAAGCTCCACACCATATATAAACTCTTCTTGACTAGATCAAGCAACATGTGGACACAGTTCAGGGAGGGTCAGAAAGCGATTAGCTAGAAGGAAATTATGGGAAGCGAAATATAATAAAGCTAAAAGTAGCTGTAGCGCTGTGAGTCGGCAGGGATGGAATTGGAAGCTGGAACAGGGAGCTGTGGAGCTGTGGCGGGGGTGCAAGGGTCATGGACAGGGGTGTGTGCGGCGCTCGAGTTTGCGCTGGCCTGTATTGAGTAGCACTCAGAGGCTGGCCCCGACAATGAGGCCTGCTGTTGAAAATTAATAGGCCATGGAGAAGGCGAAGAGGAGGATGAAGTGGGCTCTCCACTGCCCCAGCCGCTTCCGACTCCGAATCCGCCACCCGTCCCGTGATGGGCGCCCACGCCACCGCCATCTTCGAAACCGGCGTCAATACCGGGCACATTGCCGTTGCTGTTGACTTTCCCGTTCCCACTACTTCCACCATCGGGTAACAGCAAATTACCGCCTCCGAGCGGAGGCGCAGAGTAGCTGCTTTCCATACTTCGCGGGCGTAGTCCGTTGTTCATCGGATTGGTCGAGCTGAGCAAGCCTGTTGAGCTGTAGCTCACGGCATTTTCGGCGTCAATGTGTCCGTCGTGGGTTCCTATACTGGGACTTGTCACATGTCCAGCAGCCGACAGTGACAGACTTCTAGTAGGATAGCCGTAAGGTGAAGTCGATGTACCGCTCGAATGATAGGTTGGCTTCCGCCGCGCAACGAGACCACCTCCGCCGTGCTGCATTCGATACATGAGTGCTTGCGGATGGTGATGCTGCTGGTAATGTGATTGCTGGTACTGGTACTGCTGTTGATAGTGTTGCTGGTAGCTATCAAGCGGAGACATGGGGGAGTAGGGCGGAGCTAGGTTGATAATGTCTCGCAGGGGTGTCGAGATCTTCTTCTGCCGCTCGAGCTTCGTAAACGTACATAGTCGCCCCTGTTTGGTGCATCTCTGGCAAGGTTGCTGGCCGGAGCACTGTCATCGTTCCGTTCGATAGAATAACGCGACAGTGTGTGGCGACGAAGAAGATGCAAAGTCAGTATTGCGAACACATCGCCGAGTCAATAGGAAGATGCCGCGGAAGACAGTCAGGAGGCGCCGACCGACATCAGATCAAAGATCATAAAACGACGTACCTTGGCTTTGCGCTGCCTACAGTGCTCGCAGGCATGAGTGACGCGGATACCTTTGCTATCACACATCTGTCGAAAGTGCTGCTCGGTAAGATGCAGTGCCTGTTGGTGATCAGAACGACTCTGCGCTTCGAGAAGTTCGGCTTGTGCTTGAATTTGTTCGAGGTTGATATTTGCCTGAGGTTGACCGACATCGACAGGCCTGGACAAGAGCTTCGAGTCTGCAGGGAGAGGCAGACTGGATACCATACCCATCGCATTGGCACGACTTAGCTCGTCGAACATCGTGCCGGACTTCATCTCGGTACCAAGGCTGAGAGTCTCGTTCTGCCTTCGAGGGGAGGGGTCCTCGGGAGTCCAGACGGAGGCCGACTTGCTTGTGCCGGAGGAGACGGAAGAATCAATCTGACACGTCAGAGATCCAAGCCGGTCATGTGGATTGCTCCAAGCACCATTTGCGATCTGAGACATCCCTGAAATGCCGTGACCAGACTTTGTATCGAGAAAGAAGGCTCGGCTCGGATTCTGAAAAGACGGTGACGACAATGTTTTGTCAGAAATAGAGTTTCAAGGCTTGCCGCCGAGGTTGTGTGCAGACGCCTGTGTGAACGAATTTTGAAGCAGTCTTGCGCCGCTGTGAGGAGCTTTGATCGGATGACAAGGACTGCGTGAAGCCAATGAAGACAGACGCGAAAGCGCAAAGGAAGAGCCGAGCCGTTGTGGAAGCAGCAAGTCGGTCACCGACGGAAGCGGAAAGCAGACATTGAAAGAAGGCAGAGTTGAGTGCGCTCTTATACGATGGTTGAAGGACACTACAGGTTGGGCCGAGACCGGACCGAGGCCAGAACTTGGTTGTCATTCTCTGCGACAAGCTGTGCGCAGGAACAGCCACCGCGCCAGACATCCAAAAATTTCCCCTACGCAGAAAGCTCTGCCGATAGCATTGGAGTGCCGGCGCTCCCGACGGGAACAAGGACAAGAGGGCCGATCAATGAGCTCGTACGGCTGGGGAAGGCTTTGATGAATCAGAAACACCATCTGAGGAGAGGAGAGGGGCGACGCTAGCATTTTCGTGTGGGCGAAACGCGAGGCCAGCAATGCAGATAATGAAGCTACTCGGAGGCATGGCCACATGCCAAGGTCTTTCGAGAACCAGCAGGACAGTGTTTTGAGTCACAAAGCCTCCCAGCTGAAGCTGAGCGGATGAAATGAGTAAGGCTGCCAGCGGACGAGGGACGAGAAAACATCGGGAAGGAGCCATCGCCATGCATTGCGCCGTCGCATGGGGATGCCCAAAAAAAGAGTGTCCCGTTAGTCGCCTCGTCCCGTCTCGCGTGGGTGAAAGATGAAGGATTTCATTTCACCAGACGCAACCGTGATTGTGATATGATCAGGGCAATAGCAAGAGGATCTTCTCTTCTGGGTCCATCACGCAAGACAATGGCGATTCATTGATCAAAGCTTTTCGCCGCACAGTAGTCACAGTCAAGAGACGAGCTTCGTCGAAAATGTGGGCAGAGCTCAAGCCGGCCACAGCTCAAAATGGCTGAGTCATCAGCAGACCTGGACTGAGCTTGGAGGAGAGTGACTGTAGAGGAAAGGTCGAGGCCATGACTGTGCAGCAGAGCTCTGCGCCTATTTTCTCCGTGTCAGTATCCCTATGAGCTCACCTGACAACTTGATTTGCGCTGCAGTGCTAGCAAAGCGACTGTCGCCCCTCCGAGCTTGGAGCTGTCTGCCGAGTGCAATCCTTACATCGGTCAATGATATGACCGGCTGTTGCCACCTTATCGGTGTCAGAACCGGTTCTCAAGCTCGCTTGTGCTGGTCTAGACTCGGTCCATCTGCCACTGTGCCTGGTGTGACCCGTCGAGCTTGCAAGGCCGTAACAACCTAGCTCCACATGCATGCATCTAACGACCTATCTTAAGGTGGGATTATCGCCGGCCCGCCGGTCAATGCTGTCGACGCGACGACTGACAGGAGTGCCTGCCAAGTGCAAATGGTGTCCGTTCGCCGCCTAGGCTTGGACTGCGATGAGACTGCTCATCGCGCCTTATTTGAAGTCTCGAAGGCTGCGGCGCACCAAAAGCCATGTTAGTAATCTGGGCCGCGCAGAAACGGTCGCATTCACCGGTTCCTGAGAACACCGGTCTTGATGGCGCCATTGTCACCGCGCGTGTGGCCAAATCGAAATGAGAAGGTGAGAGGAGATATCGTTTACTGAACAGATAGTGCGGGACAGACCACAGGGGAGAGACAAGGGGATCGCTGGAGGTACTGCACGACTGCACAGAACGACTTCATCTCCAGTTGCTGAAATATCCCTCTCTTCGCACCTGCGATTGCGATTGTACTGCAAATGAGACGCGGCAACTTCGTCCTCCGTCTGGGCAAAGCCACGAGCTCGTGGCTAGCTTTGCCCTAAATGCATGGTGCAGGACAGCCTGAGACCCACTCAGGATGATTCTTGGCAAGCTGAAATCTCGGTCTAGTTCGCAAAGCCTTCTCCCACGCCTTTTCCCTCGAGTGAAACCCGCCACACTCTTCTGCCACGAGGCAGGAGCAAGCTCGGTCGACCTTGAGGATTGCCACCTATGTGCATTATACTGCAGCTAGTAGATGCCATTTATGGCTGTCTATGCCAGAGATTGAGACGCTCAGATGCACTCGGCCACATCGGCTCCGATCGACAGTCCAACCCAGCTCAGCCTACATCTGGGTATTCCAAAATTTCAATCTCTCACAACAGCACAGCTCTGTTCAACATGTGGTTGTACAGGCAGGCGTGACTGCGCCTGAATTACAGTCTTCTCTCCTCCGCTTTGTCGGATAAGACGACGAAAAAAATGAGCATTGCACCATGGAGTATGATGGGTCTAGCCGTGAGTTCAGGAGGCCTCGGTGTGCCGGATCAGCTTCCGCAAGAACTTGCTTGAGAGCTTGAGCCCCTTGTTGGACTCATTAAGCTGCTGGACCTTTTCTTGCCACTCTGTCTCCTTACCCTGCAGAGCGAGCGCACATAGATATGCCTTCTCGACCTCGATGCTCGACGCAGGCGCAGGCGAGGCAGCACAATCGTCCCGCTGCTGTGCCCGGAAGATGCTGTAGATGCGCACGGCTAAATCAGCTTTGTCGGCATCACAGAGGCCATACATGAGCTCGGCCACGACTTGCTCCCGCACAAGCACCGGCTTTCTCGTCCCTGCACGCTCAGCTGCGTCGGGAGACTCTACGGTATCATCCGGAAACGGACCGTCTTCGATGAAACTCGCCTCGGCACCCTGTCGAAAGATGTGCATGGCCTTCAGAAGCTGCTCTGTCGATAGTGGTGAGCTCGCTCGACTACCTTTGGGTTTGCTTTGGGAAGCGGGACATTGTAAGCTTGCGTGGAGCAGTAAAGTCCATGTTTCGCCGTCGGGGTCCACTCCAATGTCTCTGAGCTCGTCGAAGAGCTCTTGCATCTGCCCATCGGTATAGGGTGTGTCCGCGTCAGATGTCACTGCCACAGCCGCCGACTTGTGTGGCGAAAATTGCAGGTCATCTGACAACGGCGCGAGAACGGCTCGCATAACAGCGTTGTATGCTGCCCTCACTACTTGTATGGTCACAGCACTGGAAGAAGTCTGTGTTGTCGCTGGTGCTTGGATGCCGTGCTTCGCCGGTCCACGTAACATGTGATGGGTTAAGCCCAGTCGGAAGTCCTCAAATTGTCGTAGGATCGTTTGCTTTCGCTCCAAAGTCCATGGCGCTCTCGCGTTGCTAG